ACTATTATCTTTTAATATTTCTGAATCTTCAGAATCATCGCACATTGCATGACCATCATATTATATATCCGCCATTCGTCCACAGTATCTATTTCCCCATAATTATCAGAATAAATTCATCAAACTAGAAAGTTTTTTTTTAATATTATGGTTGGTAATTCTTATCTGTGTATACATCTTGCAAATATTACTTTAGGAGCGCATGGTTTCGGAAACTTCGTTCAATCTATCAGTTAATCTCTTTTTTATTTGGATTACAAGGACTAGTCCATAAAATAATTTAATAAATGGTTTAAGCTAGAAGATCTTAATTTTATTTCTTTTGAAAATTAGGGGTCATTTTGGTAAATCAATCTCTTAGATAAATGAAAGAAGTTTTTGATCTTGATACTATAGAGACATCTTATATGGTAAACGAAAGATGGTTAAAATCTTAATGCACTATAGAAGTCGTACTCTGCTTTCTCTGGTATCAAACTATATGCATAATTTATTACAACAGATAGAAATGATAATCCATTCTTACTTACTATAAATTTAACAAATGTAAATGACAAATGCAAAAAAAAAGTGTGAGCTAAAATTATATAAAATAATTTTAATGGTATTGTGCCAACAGTTACAGTTCTTGAGAACAATACAATGCATATAAATGATTTATTTTTTAATCTTTATAACGCATCAATTATTATCAATATTGCCATTTTATCATGCCACTAATAACAATATTGAAAACACATTAGTTAATGTAAGAGTTTTGCTGAAAACTACAAAAAAATTAGCCATAACTTTTTTTCAAATTTCATTAGGATGATACTGTTATCTGGAGGAACATTAACACTTGATCCCACAGGATTAGTTTTCTGCATGCTTTGTGGCTCGATTGAAAGCTTGTCACGTGATGGTTTAAACAGAGAGAAGTTTGTTATCATTGTGTTATACGACTTTTTCAAGGATGAAGAAATATCCGTGTTGACTACATTACGTTTACTAACAAACAACGTGCTGCAAACATTGAGAAATGTGGAGCCAAAAGCAAGTAGACTAAGGTAGAAAAACGTAACCTGACTCCCGAGATAGTCAAATCCAATGCCAGCTAAAACGCATCCAAGACCAGCTCCTGAAAAAGAATTGATTTTTGTAACAGCTTAGTACTTAATACTATTTTTAAAACAGGGCAAATTAAATAACTATGCATTTTTTATGATTAGGTGGAAAACTATGAAATACTACCAGATAATTTTTTACATTTAGCCCTGAAGACAACAAGACTTCGAACTAAACTAATTTAGAAGAAGAAAAAACGTTATTTTATTAGCATCAAGTTCTGTGATTTTTTTAAAATTAATTTGACATTAGGAACAAAAATAAAATACAATATAAACTTCGAGGCAAATTATATAGATACTTGAATCATTTTTTAGCGTCTGTTTCATTTCTTAAAATCATACACCAGCAACGGTAATTTCTTAGATTTCGAACATAGGATATTTTTTCCTCTATTAAATATAAAAAATTATACATTTTTTTCTTCTTTTTTGATCAACTTGAGAAAAATCTATTTAGAATGATTTTCATGCAACACCCTGTATATTATGTGCAATCTATATACATAATGAAGCCAAAAACTAATTGGTAACAAATTAATACTTAAGTGTCGTTAAGACGTACCAAAATGAAGTAGAAACGCCATCCAGTCCCCCTAGACTATTAAACTGGCGTTCGAGGACTTTAATTGTTTTTTTGCTCTAATTGTCCTCAAACTCAATTAACATTTTTTTCTCACTTAAATATTAAATTGAGACCTGTAATTAATATTTTAATTATCTGAATTTAAATTGCAATTTATTTTGAAGCTAAGGGATCTTTAATTGGTTCTCTACGAATTTTCGAAGCAAATTTCTTTCTAAATTGAATCAAAAAAGAAGTTGCAAAAATTGCATGTTCTTTTCAAGCAAAATTAAGGCAGACGTCTTTACAGACTATCACAAGAACAAAGGTTCAGCTCTCTTCTTCTTCCATTCTGTAATATACCAGGATAGGAGCTTCAATAGTAGCAACAATTTATTTACTACTTAAAAATAATATATGCACGTGTTACCAAGCTTTACTGTCGTTATATGTATAGGAAAGTCTTAAAATAAACGGTATTCATATATACACCTTTTACCTAAATGACGAGATCTGGTACATACATCTGGCAATCCTTTAGCAAGCATTCATGATTAAAATGGTTTCTGAAAATGGGCCTAGGACTGGAAATTTTCGAACATTATTTTCCTTTGAACTGTTGACATTTCGCATTCTCTGCAAACTTTTTTTTCGTAATTAAAGGCCATCAAATAAAACGTAAGTATCATTTTTGAAGTTTGTGGTGACGCAACAAAACAAAATCACTGATTTCCTAAGGTTTTCCTCCAAATTTAATAGTTTGTGGAAGTTAAAAATAAGCGTTTTACTCTATCTGCCTCTCTTCTATAAAAAAAAATTAAATAAAAATTAAAGATAAAAGATCTCAAATGCAACGAACAAAACTCATTTTAAGCACCCCTTGATATCATTTCGTGTTTTCTAAGTCAAACTATTTTTTAAATCTATAGTTTAGGTAGTCGTCTGATTAATTAGTTTAAATCATTTATTTCGATTAGTATCAACCTTACTTTTAAAATCATCTTTCCATTAGCATTGTTTCCTGCTTATTTTTACTTACCTAATCCTCCATGAGTTGAAAAAATAATAGACTGAGTTGTAGCTTCTGTCCCAGGTTCGGAACTAAGTTTTCCAAAGGAAGCTGCTGCAGAATAAAAAAGTCCATACGTTATACCGTGAGTAATTTCCATTGGTAGCACCAACCACGGGTTTCTAAGATAGCTGTACCACAAAAATCTGACAGCATATGCCAGAAGTGACAAAGACACTATATTGAAGTGTCCCATTTTTTCTATAACCCATCCTGAGAAGAACATAAAAGGTATTTCTCCAGCAAAGCACTGCACATAAGGGACCAGGCCGCAGAGAAATGCACTAGCTCCCAATGAGGATATGAACCAAAGCAGATAATACCATATTACACCACAATATACGCCAGTTATAAAAGATCCGGCATTGAAAGCAAGAAAAGTACTAGATTTAAGAACTACACCTACATCTTTTGTTAAGTTTTGAGAAAACTCAGGTACAACGAGATCCATTTTGTATAAATTCCATATAACCAAGATTTGCATAACTGCCATTAGGATCCACGCTGAGAAAAATCCATTTGTGAGATCACATAAAAGCCCTCCTATAGGAGCGAAAATGCCCCAACTTATAGCAGAATATATTCTTTGTCTACCAAAATCTCTATTGAACTTCTGCACACTCTCGCAACAGATTGTGTCAGACAATGTAAATACTGAACTGGAGCATGTTCCCGCTATAATCATAATGCATGCATATAACCAAAACTGATACGTTTCGTAGCTGTTCACATTTAGATACTTTTCAGTGTGTCCTGATTCATCGGAAAAAATAGCAGTACAAAGTCTTGATGCAGTGACACTATCATTAAAAATATCTGGATTCAAGGAATGTAAATAAAAAAAGTTCTTTTTCGCTTTCATTTGTGTTTCATATTGTTTTAATTGCATCGGAGAATACGTTGAGCAACAGAAAGTTAACTGAGTCCCCAATAATTCTCCCTCTTTTGTGTTATTCCATAACTCCAAACACAGTGTTTTATCAGTAAGGCTTAACTTTGCAGCACAGATTATTTCTGAACTTTTATGTGTGACATTTTCACCATTTTTTGAATGTTCTCCTTCGACTTTTGTTATCGTCAATAAGTTGGAGTCATTGGAAAGCTTATTACAAACTTCACCTGTGGGAAATGAAATAATATAAAGTTCTATGTCATTGCTGCTTTCTTCAATAAGGTTTAACGGAGTTGAATTCCGGTCCAACTTTGTTGACAAATCAATTTTTGGAATAACAAGTAGAGATAAGAAACACAGACAATACACGATGATTAGAAGACTAATCATAATTTTCATTCTCTTAAAATAGTCTGCTATGTAGCCTAAGGTTGTTTTAGACAAAACTGTAATGAACAACTGAGAAGAATAAACTGTTGCATAAGACGTTGCTGAAACTCCGATTCCATCCTTTGCGATGAGAGGTATATAAGGCAGTATAGCTCCCATGGCTGTAAAAAGAAGAATAAAAAAAATTTGAATCTGAGCTCACTTTTGAAATTTCAAAGCATTTCAATGTTAATTTTTTAGTTGAGATTAAATGCATTTAAGTAAATGTGTTGAAATTTAAAAAATTACACGTAGCACAAAATATAGATGTCTATATTTTTACTCGTGAATTCAAACTAAATAAAAGAAAACTTTATGGTTTGCATATAAACAATCCAAAATAATGCATCTATGGACTACGTCGAACTTATGCCTGCAATGGACCTCTATTTAATTTTCGTTTGAGAAAAGATATTTTTATTTTATTATCCCTCAATTCTATTTTATAATATCTTTGATGCTGCATGTAATGATATTTCTCAGAATATAATTTAAAATGCTGTTACTAACACATATTAGAAGAAACAGCTTTTTTTTCGGAGGAAATGTGAAAAGAAAATTGTAGCATGTTCATTATGACCTCACTTTGCAGTGTGGATCAACACATTATTAATGAACTTCGTTGATACAAATTAAACGATAAATTACTCCAGCAACAGAGGTTAATTTATCTTTAGTAAGTCTAATATAATTTTGGCTCAAGTTTGAAAATTTTCGGCCTAACGTTAAGAAGAATTTTTAACTTTCGGAACTGTTCCAAGACGCAAATAGTGTGACTTGAGCTTCAAATATGCAGACATGAAAGATGTCAACAGTTCTTTTCCGGTGTTTCTCTTAGAATATACGACCTTAGAAAAATATTAATCTCTCAGAATATACGACCCCCATCGTGTATACTTTTTCTCTCCTTTTTGCCAAGGCTTCTAAAAATATATTTCGTAAAATACTCATTGCTGAATACCATTTTTAAAAGGGTGTAGTCTGGCTGGAACGCTCCGGTTCAACGTTCCAATAATTTTTTGTAAAGGGTGGAGCATGGCTATGGTACTTAAAGGAATAAATTATTAATTTTAAATTTAACCTTTGTTTTATTATAAAACTCCACTATCATCTGCTCGTGATACAAATAAATCAAGTTCTAGGACTCGATGTCAAAGGTGCAAAGGTATGACCTCAAGTATGCAAATGAAATCAGTACAGACGATAGTTTAAGATACGAAATCAGACGCGAAAACGTACTTTCGCTGAATACACACACTTTTTCCCCCATGAAATTTGACTATCAAAATTTGGGGGTAGCCGCTATCTGGGAAGTATGGTCTCAATAAATCCGTCAGGAGAGCAGTCGGTAGTTTGGACCCCTTAAAGGTAATTTTACTTTTTACGTATTATGCTACGCCTCGAGAATTTTTCAAAATTTGTTTTTCCTGAGATAATTTCACTCAAAAAAGAAAATTTTATTGAATATTTATTATTTTTTATCAGTCAAATAGTTCCTGTGAAATCGCTTCTTTTTTTAAAAAAAAGAAATCTAATCTTAAAAATTCAATTTGTCAGCGAATAATAGACCGATTTCAATTAAATTGTATATTTAAAATTACACTTTTCAATTTTGGCGCAAGTTTATATAATGCAGAAGTTGCATACCTTACAACTCAAAAATTTTTCTACTATTATTAAATAAAATAATTAAAGATAATAAATATTAACTAAAAGTTCTTTTTTGCATGGAATTATCTTAAAATAAAGGAATTTTATAATTGTGCAATATTTTTTAATTAGTTTCAAATGTTCTCGAGATAAAAGCGAAATGCGCAAAAAAGTAAAATTAACATTGTTGTGTCCACGTCCATTGATCTTTTCAAAATTTTGTTTGACTTACACTCTAAAAAATTTTGATGTACCTGAACACCAAACATAGTGCAACTACATTACACAAAAGTGTTGTTCCACTGAGTGTTCCTTTACTCCAAGAACCAACAACCTAGAACCAATAAGGGTAAATCCTGATGTGATGAAACACCCAGAATGGTGTTTAACACTATTTGGCCTAAAGTAGCCATGTTCGTTATTCAGTAACACTAAAATTTATAATTACAGTAAGGCATGATATACTTAAGGATCCTCAAAACTTTTGCGATACAATATGTAGCAGGAATCATAAAAATCATATAATAATATTTCTTGAAGTGAAATTAGTTTCTTAAAATAATATATACACATCACAAAGTGAATATTAATATGATTTTGAACTACATTTATCAAAACCGAAGCGGATAGAGATAAAATATTATTATTTAATACAGTTCACAGATACTACAAAATTGAAATATACAGTGGTGGCCAAAAGTGTGGACATTTTTTGAAAGTTTCCTGTTTTTCAACTTTGTGTGCTTGTAGAATATATTATTTTTCACTTAAATACAAACTTTTATATATCCAATTGAAGGTAATTTAATGTAAAATTTAATAATACATACAGTATTACAATATCTGTATTACAAAAAACGTTATGCAACTAATAGTAAGATCTATCTCAGATTTGCATTTTTTTAAAGTGATACTTTCACAATCAATACTTAGTAGGACAACGCTTATTTTTAAAGACAGCTTCACAGCGTCTTTTCATCGAGTGAACGAGTGTTTGGAGCTCATCTTTCGTAATCACATGGTGCCAAGAGTCAATTATAGCTCCAATAAGTTGTCTTTTATTGGAAGGATGTTTTTTTCGTACAAGAATTTTCAAACGTCGCCACAAATATTCAATTGGATTGAGATCAGGGCTGTATCCTGCCCATGGTAATATATCTATGCCTTTATTTTGAAACCATGCTTTGCATACTTTTGCTGTGTGCCATGGAGCTGAATCCTGCTGAAAAATAAATGGTTCGTTGTTGGGGAAGAGATCCCTGATGGAAGGTATCAATTTTGGTTTCAGGACAGTTTCGATGTATTTTTTGGCATTCAGGATGCCATCAATCACTTGAATTCGGCCCATACCGTCTGCAGACATACATACCCAAATCTTGACATTTGTTGGGTTTTTGCAGTTGCTTTAATGCAGTCAGGATGAAGTGCTTCACCTACTCTACATCTCACTTATTTTCTACCATCCCTACCAAAGAGCGATATTTTGCTCTCATCGCTCCAGATTACTTGCTTCCATTGATTTTCTGACCATTTAATTTGTTCATTTGCCCACTTAACTCGTTTTTCGCGTTGTTTTTTACTTAAATATGGTTTTTCCTTGAATTTCTAGCTTGTAGTCCAAATCCTGATAACCTTCTTCTTATTGCTCTTGAACTTACTGCAATACCCGCTGCATTCATTTCACATCTAAAGGCATCTGATGAAATTTTTCTATCTTGAATGCATAGCCGTTTAATTTTTCGATCGGCAGTAGCACTTGCGCATTTTTTTCGGCCTGATTTGGTATCCTGAATACCAAAAAATACATCGAAACTGTCCTGAAGCCAAAATTGATACCTTCCATCAGGGATCTCTTCCCCTACAACGAACCATTTATTTTTCAGCAGGATTTAGCTCCATGCCACACAGCAAAAGTACGCAAAGTATGGTTTCAAAATAAAGGCATAGATATATTACCATGGCCAGGATACAGCTCTGATCTCAATCCAATTGAAAATTTGTGGCGACGTTTGAAAATTCTTGTACGAAAAAAACGTCCATCCAATAAAAGACAACTTATTGAAGCTATAATTGATTCTTGGCACCATGTGATTACGAAAGACGAATTCCAAACACTCGTTCACTCGATGAAAAGAAGCTGTGGAGCTGTCTTAAAAAATAAGCGTTATCCTACTAAGTATTGATTGTGTTAGTATCACTTTAAAAAAATGCAAATCTAAGATAGATCTTACTATTAGTTGCATAACTTTTTTTGTAATACAGATATTGTAATACTGTATTTATTATTAAATTCTATATTAAATTACCTTCAATTTGATAAATAAACGTTTGTATTTAAGTGAAAAATAATATATTTTACAAGCACACAAAGTTGAAAAACATGAAACTTTCAAAAAATGTCCACACTTTTGGCCACCACTGTACCTATCCTTATTATACAACTAAAAATGTGTATACAAGTATTAACGGCGAACTTTCATTTGAATATATGTTATACAGCCACGAGGAAGAAAGACTCTCGTCAACTTTTAATCGATGTAAACTAGAACAAACAAACGGAGAAATCCAAAATGCCCCATCGTTGGTGTTTCAGGACGCAAAAATAATTTTGGTAAAAGCTTCCTCATTTACTGCAGTTTCTATTAAATTACACTCTTTACAGTGTGTATGAACCATCGGTTTGATATTAAAATGAAATTAGACACTATTTTTGGAGCTTTTCAGCGTCAAATTCGGATAGATATTACACCATAATCTTTACAATGTACAGTACTTCCTGTAAATACACAAGTGGGCGAATTTTGTGCTAAAATACAAACTAAGGCAAAACAACGTTCAAGAGCACAAAAATATTTATAAAATACAGGTATTTTAGAAATATTTTTGTGCTCTTTAACGTTGTTTTGCCTTAGTTTAATACTTCCTGTAGTTATAAATTCTAAGAAGAATGTGTCTTACCTCCATAAAACAAAAAGAAATGTATTTTAAATCGAATCATTTCTCGATCAACATGACAAAAACCTTTCTGTATTTTGCCTTTTTCTTCTTCGCAGGAAGGTACAGATTTTGAGAGTTCTTTTCCGTTTTCCTGCTCCATTCTTGAAGAAAAAAACTCATTTTTAATTGTTATTATCGGATATTTACTACGTGATATAATATTTTACTTTCCTTTTTGCCATTGCCTCTTCATGAAATAACCTAGATAAACATTTAAGTCAACTGCTTTTTATTTGTAGTTAACGAAATACATCATGGATCTACCGGTAGACGGAAAAAAGGTCCCGGAAAAAAAGGTACGAAAAAAAGGGTCCCTGGAAAAAAAGGTCCCGGAAAAAAGGTCCCGGTAAAAAAGGTACCCCCATAGGGAAAATCTGTAGCGATATTTCCCCTCTCGCTTTCTGGGCAGCATGAATGCTTCTCGCTGTTTCAATGAATATGTATTCTTTTTATCTGTAATAATGCAGATTAGATCATTGAGTTAAGGAGAAGGGTAAGGGGGGGGACTTATGGGCTGGTTGTAATACGCTTTTTTTTTAAATTTTATTTCATTTATTTATTCTCCTTTGATTATTTTCTAAAGCGGGAAGGTACTATTTAAATTTTTTAATAATGTTTTACTTTTTTTTGCAATTTTTTTAAGTGAAAAATGTGTTATTTTCTATTTTAAATTATATTTTGTGAAGAAGTTGCTTTTTTTCCGGGGACTTTTTTTTTCCGAGTACCTTTTTTCCGGTACCTGTTTTTCCTAGAATCGGATCTACCACCACGCAACAGCTCGCGAAACTGTGGAGCCTTAACTCTCAAAATATATTGATTGTTCAGGAAAAATATATTTTAATTCATTGAAAATGATAAAATGTTTTTTAATTGTTATTTTTATGAAACTTACATTACTGGCTTCAATAATTGTTTGACCATTTCTTACGGTCATCTGACACGAATAAGATTTAAAATGATTTTTAACGAAAATAACGCTTTAAAAGTGATTTTTTAAAAGAATTTTAAAAACCACTTTTCATGGAATTTCTATCTTTATTTCTTGAAATGTCTACCTTACCCAAATTTTCATTTTTTTTATTATTTTGAAATATTTGAAGCTCTTTTGGACTTATAAATTCATTAGTATTTTAAGTGAAATAGACTTTTTAAATTTGATGTTAATATTTTTTCTAGTTAGCATTTTAAAAAGGTTGTATTTCTTCGAAAATCTACAATAAAAGGTGATAACAATGATATCAGTAACATAGAAATACAAACTATATTATAAAATTTAAAATTTAGAAAAGTCAATAAAAGCGTAAATAAAATTCAAAGCAATGAGACGCAGGTAAAATTATAGAAATTATAATTTAAATAAGTACACTGTAAAAAAAATTTGCTGTATAATGGCCACTATTTTCGGTGCTGATGTACACTAAATGCATTTTTAAGCACAAAACTAGAGTCATTGTGCGAAAAATTTTATAAATTAGACAAAATTGCAATTGTTTGATGGAATTAGTTCGATTATAGTGTTAAAAATAAGTTCGTTTTTCAAACTAAATGTTTTCGAAATCAAGCTATAAATGATTGATTCTAATGCGCATGAAAATATGTACTGGCTACAAACAAACAAGCAAAAAATATTTAAATAAATAAGTGCAACTATAACAGTGAAAAAGTAAAAGAAAAATGTGGTTATATGCACTTTAAACAGTTTTAATTTGCTCTACACCAAAAATGGTTGATACTATACGCGAAAAGTTTTACAATGTAGTATTAAAGTAAAAAGTATAAAGAATTTAGAGATAATATTTTCTTACCGTCACATAAGCAGATATAAACAAAAATGAAAAAGAGAATCGATAATAAAATTATATATTTTCTTTTTCTTTTGAGAGGAATAAACTTTTTTTTTTCGGAAAAGCAACGGCCATACTCTCGTATGCATTTTATATCTCGGTTAATGTGTCAGGGTACTCACAGATATTTTTTCTTTTCTTCTGAAAACACGTTAGATGTGAAATAGATTTTACCACCAGTTTTGACTCCAATTAAAGTCCTTTTCGAGACGTTAAGTTAAGATCTTTTCAACGAGTCAGAACACTCATACAAGTAGCTACGAAAAAATTGCTCCAGTTACTCGTGATCACGGGTGTTTACTTTTATCTTGCCTGCTTATATTGGAGAAAACATTATTTTTCTTGAACAGCTGGAAATTAAGTAAAATAAAGCATTTATCATATTTTTCCAAACAACTTTCTATTAGAAAAAAGTAAGTTTTACTCAACTTATAAAAAAAAAAATTATGAACACAACTTTTCTAAAAAATATTGTTTATTTGGGGGTAATGATAAAAAAAAGAGTCAAATTACAGTGTTTTGTTTTCTTCACAATAATATTATTCTTTTACACAATCCTTGTGTTGCCTGAATTAAATCTTTTATCGATTTGTTGCTCCTTGCGCATTTTTTATTCTCAATTAAAGCAGAAAACTAATGCAAAATTTGTGCCAAATCATTGAAAATTTTCATTTTACATATTAAAAATAGGCTAGAAAATATTATTCAGCACATTAGACACAGCTAAAAATTTTATCTGAACCTTATTTAAAGTTTTATTAAAACTTATCAAACTGTATCTCATTCATTAAAAATAAAACAAATGTTCTGTTTTCAAAAATAAAAAATTATTTGTATAAAAAAATATTTCCCATTGAATAGAAAACGGAGCAAGCGTCCATTCTATAAAAAATTAAAAACTATTTTAACAAAATGATGTTCAGTTCGCACTATCAACATACTGTATTCCACTCATTAAAAATGAAGCAAAGTCTAGTCTTCAAACATAAGTTATCTTTATTAAAAAATATTAAAAACATCAGTATCTCATTCAATGAAAATAAAACAAATGTCCAGTTTTCAAAAATAACAAATTATTTTTGTAAAAAAAATATTTCCCATTGAATAGAAAACGGAGCAAGCGTCTATTCTACAAAAAATTAAAAACTATTTTAACAAAATGATGTAGAGTTCGCACTATCAACATACTGTATTCCACTCATTAAAAATGAAGCAATGTCTAGTCTTCAAACATAAGTTATCTTTTTTAAAAAATGTTAAAAACATCAGTATCTCATTCATTGAAAATAAAACAAATGTCCTGTTTTCAAAAATAACAAATTATTTTAAGGAAAACTTATTATTTTCCATTGAATGGAAAACAGAGCAATCGTCTATTCTACAAAAATTAAAATTCTTTTTACAAAAGGATATTAAGAACGCATTATCAAAAACCTCTATCCCACTTATTAAAAATGAAGCAAAATCTAGTCTTCAGAAATAAAAAATTATCTACATACAAAAGATGATAAAAACATATCATATCTATATAAAAAAAATCATAATAACATACCCATTTAATTGAAAATATATAGATCTTTAAAATCGATAATTATTTTTACTTCAAAACGTTTCTAAGAAGTTTCTGCATCTTATTCATCAAAAAATAAAGCAAATGTAAGCTATTAAAAATAATATACTACTTAAGGCAGTGATTCTCAACCTGTGGTCAACCTCGGTGCATATTCCGATGCAATATTTGCATTCTATGCTTGCCTCATTCATAACTTCATTTGAAATAGCGAATAATGCTAGCGCTGTTGTTTTGAGTTCTATTGATTTGCAGAAAAGTAGTTTTACTACTGACATATTATCACAAAATCAAACATAAACAATTAAATGAGCATCTTTATTATGCTTCATCAAACTGTATTGAAAACATTTTGTCACGCAACATCGAGAAAAGCTGACACTACATTTTCAGCTGTATCACCAATTCGAGGAGCAACAGTATCGTTTGAAAGAGGACGGTAATTCTTTTGAAAAATTAACTCCAAACATAGTTTCTGCAATCTCAATTGCTGCTGGCTTTTACTTTACTTTTGTTTTGGCAGTTAGTTAAAAATAATTTAAAAGCAGAATTCAAAATACTCAATATACATTATTGTTGTATACATTTTACTGTAAGTGGGGGGCGCGATGAAAATTATGTTTGAAAATACTGAAAATATTACCGCGAATACTGAAAGGTTGAGAACCGCTGACTTAAGGCAAAATGAATCTATAAAAACATATTGTATCCTATTTATTCAAACATATTGTATTAGATTCAGTAAAACTGAAGATACATATAATACTGTAATGAAAAGCAACTGGAAACCTTTTTAAGTAAGCAGAATCGAAGAAACAGTAAAGGCTACGTCATTAATCATCTAACAAACCAGATACTTATAATCAGATTTGCAAAAAATAAGTTAAGAATCGAAAATCGCAATGTTGTACAGCTTGAGACTGATTCCGCTGTGCAGTAGGCAATCAAGATGTTTTTATAAAAAGAAAAATTCATATTAAATACTCTTCTATGCTTCCATCTCAGATAGTTTATTGATAAAAAACAAATTGGAATTTGATTAACATGCATGAGCACTGATACGAGTGCCTGTTTTTATTTTCTTGGTTATGGCATACTTTATTTTTAAACAGAAACTTTTTGTACATTTATTTAAATTCTGATATGATATTATTTCCAATTTAATAAAAGGCATGGTTAAATAAGCATGGCCAAATAAAAGGCATGGTTAAAAAAGTATTATTTGAAGGACTTTTTTCAAAAGTACATTTTAAAAATTATAGGATTTCTGCCCCAAAGTTTAAACGAAATTTAAAATCCGCTGAAATATTAATGCTATGACAAAACCATTGTTTGCATTCGTTGCTGAGGTTTTACTACTTAAACTTTTCTTCTATTTAAATTTAATGCTGTCTAATGCGCAATCATCATAATAAATTATAATAATTTCTCTATATAACACAAAAAAAATTATCATAAGACCGTTTTTCATTACTGTTTGTGCATTCTTATTGGACAGAAAAACCATACGATGCAAATTAAAAACTACACGAAATAAAAAATCATAAGTAGGAATTTAGTAACAATAATTTGTCGATGAAATAGAAAATTATAATGATGGGAAATTATAAGGTTTAAATTTTATCCAAATAGAATTGGGAACTAAAAATGCGGAATCGAATTTAAGTCAATCGAATAAAATGTTTTGAGGATTTTTAATTTCGATTTACAAATCTGTTTTTTTGCTGTGAGACGATAACGATTGCGTAGCGATTATGGGGAAGAGTGAGCAAACAAACCCCAAGCATTTAAAAATTGAAAATTCGGCAAATTATTTCTAATTCTGTTACTAACAAAAGCTATGATGAGTAAATTGAATGATTTGTCAATAAAACGGAATAGTTTATGGCAGATAACTAATGGAATAGAAAACATTAAATAATTTTTTTTGTTTAATATTTTTATTCCAAAAGTTATCGAATAATGATAATTGCCTTTCTAAACCGTCTTTATAAATTGAATAATGTAAAGGCAACAAATGACAAGTATTTATTACAATTAACAAAAAATATTAAGTTGCTTCTCAAGTGCCTTATCATCGGGATAACTTGTAACAGGGCTAAAAATGGAGGTTTGTAACATAAAAAGAAAGTTATGGACAAAGTGCCAATTCACAGAGATAATTTAGGGAAAGAACAAAATTTTGAAATTAAATTTTTAGGTATAATTGCCCATCTAAACCATATACTTTTATGAACTGAGTAATATAAAGGCAATAAAGGATAATTTGTATTATTGTAGGCAAAATCAGCAAAAAAGTTATGTCGCAATTTTCTTGTCTGATAGACAAATTTTAACAGTGAGCTAAAAATGGAGATTTGCAGTATAAAAATGGAAGTTATGGACTAAATTCACAAGAATACTTTATCTATCTTAAAAAAGCGTAGTGTCGTATTACCTCTTATTGTGTCGTAGTATTACCTCTAATTGTGACGCACGTTCTGCATTTCTACGATTAAATATTTTATTTTCAAGCACAAATGATTATTTTGAAATCCAAGTACTCGTTCTGTCAGCGAACAGCTAGTGGTCTGGATCTAAACTAGAGGAATCACCAATGATTTAATTAACAATTTGATTTAGTGCATTTGTAAAACACAACAATCAATTGAAAACATATTCATTTATTAAGCAACATTTAAAATACATAAAAAAACAAATTTCATCCTTCAAAACCAAAAACCAGAGACGTTCTGTTGAAAAAAAAAATTCTTTACGTTTTTGTTATTGGTTTTGCATGCTTCATTATTTTTCTTGTTTTGAACAGTCACGCTAAATTTCAGTAAAAAATTTCTTTTTTTTTGTCGTATGCCTGTTTAGGCAGTAGGGTGCGATTGTTCCTGTTTTCAGTGGCGCTATCTATGGCAAGGAGTTCGACTTCTGCCACGCCATTCACACAACCACAACCCGTTAATAGGGCGGGTCACATTCACACACAAAAGAGAAAGGATATAGAACACACAGAGAGGGAAAGAAACATCCATGCTTTGCCCGGGCTTCGAACCCAGGACCTTTCTGATGCAAGGACAGTTCCCTGCCTCCTACATAGGCCGGTCAGCAAAAAATTTCCTGACATGTTTATTTCGTTAGGATTTACATGTTTAAAAATGATCTAACATAAAATTATAATGCATTTGTAATGCAGATGTGGTGGCTCAGGGGATAGAGCACTCTCCTCCTAATGAGGTGAATTGGAGAATCGAATCCCAACGATGGTTGGTCGATACGAATTCTGCTCCCGACCACAGCGATAATGTAAAATATCCATAGTACTAGGCGGAACATTGTCGGAGTCCCCTTGTTGTCAGATCAACCATGAAAGGTTTTCGTGGTTTTCCTTATCATATAATACAAATGTGGGCTGGTTCCACCAAAAAGTCCTCCACGAAGGTAATGGAAACTTTTACAGCGGCCTAGGCCTATAGGCCCATTCGCCGAATACAATGGAACATCAATTTGTTTAATTTGACAGCAAGTATATAGAAATAAAATGTTAAAAATTTTACATGAATAGCGATTGCAACAAGCCTCGAAAACATTGAAATACATCAGAAAGAAGGCCCTTTTAATATAACATATCGTTCAAAAATTTAACATAAAAATAAACTAAAACAATATTGGTCGTGCTTGGTGTTGTTACGCTCAGGT